TCTGTCTCTCCCTGTGACCTCGCTGTGTGGCCCCAAGTGTGCCGTCCCGCAGGTAATAATCCTAAAGTTTCCTGACAGTTACTGCCGAAGGGTATCTTGCGATCGTAAAGAACCACGAGGGCGGGCCCAGCCACGATACGGGTTATGGGTGAGCTGAGACCCGCACACGGCAGCCCCCTGAGATCAGGGTACCATGTGCCACCACTTGAAGGCGAAGGGCTTCCTGCGGACGTTGGTGCCGCAGTGGACTTCGCCCAGAAACTTGTGGTAGGCCGAAATGTCATCCACGAAGGTGCAGCAGAGGCCCAGGGGCTCCAGCAGGGAGCGCACGTGTGTCTCCAGGCAGCATACCTCCTCCACCTGGGGCCCGAACGGCTTAGGGATGCCCAGGTCCTTGTCCAGCACAATCATGTTCACCTGCCACGGGGGTGAGGCACCAGCTCTGATTAGTGAGCGCCTACTACTCGCCTGGGCCCCGTGTGAAGCTCACTGAACCTTCCCAGCTACCCTACGATGCGAGTGTGCTGATTATCCCCACTTTATGGATGAGGAAACCGAGGCACCGATGGGGCGAAGCAACCTCCTACGTGGCCGAGCTGAAGTGGAAAAACCAGGCAACCTGCCTCTGCACGCACGCGTGGGAATATGCACACGCATACGCACGTGGTCAAATGTGTACATATGGGCGCGTGAGTATTTGCGTGTGCATCGATAGGTATCTGTGTGTGTGTTCTAACCTCCCTCCTCATAGAAGACTCTCCTGCATGACGACAAGGATCCCTCCTGTCCATAAAGGTCTTTTTAACTCAGAAAGCACTTTCCGATCTGTTGAAGGATTTCCCGGGACCCCCGTGAGGCAGCTATAGGATGGGCATTCTCACCCCTACGAGGGAACGTGGCCCCGAGAGGACAGGTGCCTGGGGTGGATGGGCGAGGCCACGCAGCAGCTCATCCAGGGCGGGGACCTGGACTTCCCGACCCACAGACTTAGCCGAGGGGACCTTCTGGCTTTGGCTGCCCCTGGTTGGCCCCGACAAGGTTTGGGGCCCCGCGTGCCTCACCATATTTGGGAAGTAGGCTCTGGCCTGGCGTTTCTCATCCATCTTGAACAGAGCGGGCAGATCGATGATGTCCTGCTCTGTCAGCCCCAGCTCCTTCTTGAGGATGTCACGGTTCCAGTCCAGGCAGCGCTGGGTGAGGGGGGGGAAAAGGGAGGGTAGGCAAGTCCGGGGACACTCCTGCCATCTGCGTCGACCCTGCTCCTGTCTGCAGCATCACACCTAGGGCCCCAGCACTCCAGGGAGACTTCCAGCACCTACCTAGCACCCCGCCACCTCTCCAGTGCCCCTCCCACCAGGGCTCAGTAACGGTGGGAATAAAGAGAACGAGACAGAAGAAGGTCACAGAATGACGCTTGGTAGAAATGAGACAGGGACTCAGAAGGGGGGATGCATCCATAGCAAACTTCAGGGAGCACTGATCCCCTAAAAAAATTAAAATCCAGGGCATATATTTACACATGCATTTCCTAGAAAGCACGTCTGAGGCTTGCATCATATTTTAAAGGCGTGCGCCTCCCCCAATGTCATGGGCCTTATAGAACCCTTGGCTCTTTAGCACTGCCTGATGCACCTTCCTTCCCAGGTCTCCTGCCTGCTCCTGGCCTCCGCGGGCCGCCACAGCCTGCCTTTGTCCCTCCATTTAGCTCCCAGCTTTAGCACAGCAGCAAAGCAGGGAGGCTGGACTGGAGGCTCATCGAGGCCCTTCCCTCCGTCTTGGACCCTGAACCCTCGGTCGCTCCCTATGGAAGCCCTGAGGACGTGAGAGGCATCATTGGGCACAACCCCATCCCTCCCAGGGCCCCCTGCTCCGGCCTCACCTGGAAGTACTGGTTCTCTTGCACGAGACTCTCGCTGGACAGAATCTTGTTGATGGTGATTCGCTTGCTGCTCATCCCGCCCAAGCCTGTGGAGGTCAGAGGTCCCAGGGGACAGTCGAGCCTCAGGTTCCCAGCCTGGGTGCTCCCCTCTGTCAGCCCCCCGCCCCTGCTCCCAGCTATTGGGCTAACTGCTGGGAGGGAAGAGATGGGGCCAGGGACAGGCAGGGACCCCGGAAGGTAACCCTAGGGCAGGGGAGGGCAGCACACACACTTCCTTCTCCAGGACGGGCCATGTTGCTTGGGCCAAGGAAGGCTTTCTCTCTGGCCAGAGGGTGGAGTGGTACAGGTTGGTACCCGGGTCTCCCCCCGCCGGAGTCTGCTTCTAAGGACCAGCAGCTGCCCAGGGTGAGTGTGGCGAAAGCAGGAGGCCCAGAGGTCGCCCTCGCTGTTTTCTAGAGCTGCCTCATGCTTGGCCCCTGCCCTGATGTGTGCCTGCACCTGCCTCCTATTCCACGCACGGCTTTTGGTCTGATTAGTCCTGCCTAATGCTCGCTGAGCACTCTTCTAGCTGTTTTACATGGATCAACTCAGGAATCTTTCCTATATTCCTAGGAGGTAGCTGTTCGCATGAAAGATGAAGAAACTGAGGCAGAGAGAAGCTAAATGACTTGTCCAAGGTCTTTTAGCTTTGGCAGACCCTGTATGCAGACCAGGCAGTCTGATTCTAGAACCTAAGCTATTAATTCTTCTTTTTTTTTTTTTTTTGTGCCTGATCTGGGAAGAGTTGGCTGGTCCGTCGCACTTCCCAATCTTGAAGCCTGTCAGGGGCAAAGAGATTGGGGCTGTCACACCCTGCACCTGTGCTACCTCCACAGTGCTGCTTGGACCTTGGCTCCTATATCCTATGGGTGGCTTTGGGGGTGTTTTTACTATATAAAGAAGCCTCCAGGAAATCCAGACTCATGCTGGCCAATCCAAGAAAAACAATTCCCCATCGGTTGGGAATAAAAACAGGACAGTGGTCTTAAATTGGCTTTGTCTATTCTGGCCCCTAGTCACTATCAAGAGCACTGCCTTTGGATACGGAGGGCAGTGATGTACGTAAGTATCAATGAGCCTTAGGAACGCAGACTTTTGGGAGTAGGCAGACTGGAGATACCAACCCGAAAAGTGACAAGAAGTAATTTAAGAAAAACGTGTAAGAAATTGTTACGCCCTCTGTAACCTGGCTCGCCGTCTCCCAGCCGATCAGCTTTCCCTCTTTCCATAATTAATTCAAGAGCACACCTAGTCTCCGTCTGCGTCTGTCCCAGTTAAGTGCATGCCTAAATTAAGCAGATAATTTCTCACTCTGGGACTGATAGTAACGATGTCTGGCTACAGATCATGTCAGGCTGTTCCCACTTTTCTTCCTGTCCCCCAACTGCATTACGTATATTTTTCTCTATCTCCCTTTCAAGCTCCTCAAATCCAGATCACAGGTCAGTTAGCTCTTTTTGGGGTCTGGTGCCACCCAAAGTGTCCACTTTAAATGTGTATGCTGATGATAGGGAGCAGCGGGCAGCTCGATGGTCCAGCTGACCACGGCGAAGGTCACAAGAGGCCGGGGCTGCTTCCCGCCATGGTGACCTCACAGCCCGGAGCCGTCCGGACCCCCAGCAACTGGAACCGGATGCTCAGGGGCAAAGTGCTCTGCCCCCTCCTCCTGGGCGTCTCTCGGGGGGGCTCAGCTCCCCACTCCCCGCCAAGGGCCCGTGGGCACTCACCTTTGAACATGATGGCCTCCCCGTGGCCCTCCCTCTGCTTCTCTCGGAAGAGCTTGTAGCAGGCCGAGGTACTGGCCATGAGCAGCCGGAATTGCTGTGAGAGAACATCCAGAGGGACAGTGTCCACAGAAGGGAAGTGGCCGAGGAGCACGAGGGAGCCCCCCCCCCCCCAGGGACTCGGAGCCCTGTCTGCCTCTTGTCTCAAGCCTCCCCGTGCCAAGTGGCACAGACGGCCTGGCAGGGTTTTGTCCGCAATGCCATGGAGTCCAAGCTCACAGTCCAAAGTGGCTTCGGGCAGAATGGAAGAGCTTCTCCACGTGGCCAAGAGGCCGGGCCATTTGTATAACATTCCCAGGGTATGACGCTGCAGCCATTCCTTTCCCTTCAGAAAACAAAAGAGCCCCAGGCCTACGCCCCACAGCTCTCCAGAGCATTACAGTAGCCCCTAGCCCTGTGATTATTGGACACTTGAACTGTGTGGCTAGTCTGAATTGAGACGTGCTGTTCCGGGTAAAGTACACACCGGATTCTGAAGACTTGGTATGAATAAAAAAAATGTAAAATCTCTCATTAATAATTTTTAGATTGATGGCACGTTGAAATGCTAATATTTTGGTACATCGGGTTAAAAATTGACCCTGCCACAGCGACAATGTGCAAACCAACTTGAGCCTACTTCCTTCTTCCTCTCTGCGGTCCACTACCTCTAGATCCTGCCCTCTGCTGATGAGAGCTGATAGCACATGAGTTCTCCTCTATCCTAGTCACTCAGGCCTCAGCGGCCAGCTCACCTTTGTGCCTGGGATGGGGACGAAGGTCATGAACTCATCGACGTGGCCCACGGTCAGCCAGTCTGAGTAGAGCTCCACGGGTGCCTGCACCTGTTGGGCTTGTAGGAAGTCCCGCACCACCTTGGTCATCCTCCGACCACCGGACCTGGGGTAGGGGTGGGGACGAGGCAGCTCTTCAGGGGATTTCCCGCTGTGCCTGCCTCACCAGAGGGCCTGCAGGAGTTCAGCCTCTGGGACCTAGCCTGTATCGAGGGCGGCATCAGCCAAAGTCACGGGAAGGAGCCTGAGGCTCAGGGCTGAGAGATCCTGGTGCAGGCACAGGAAGGCGTTTGTGCCCGGAGGCAAAGAAGGAGGCCGTGGCTGCAGCCGTGGCCTGTATGAATGGATGGCACGGAGCCCAGCCTTCAGCCCCTTCAGTTCCTGAGGGTGTCACGGGGTAGAAAGAGGCCAGCTTCTGTGCTCAGGGGTCCTGCCTGGACTGCTGGAGGGGGCTAGGGCACAGGCACAGTTCGAAAACCCGCCCTAGCCCATGTGCCTCTTTGTTACATTAACTTCCACTGATCTTCGATCTTTAATCAGTTTAAGCAACACCTCCTCCAGGAAGCGCTTCCTGTTAGACTCTCTGAGGGCTTCGATGTCCCCAGTACCCTGAGACTATGACTCCAGGCCTTTGCAGTGGCCAAAATTCCTCTCTGATCTGGCCGCTGCCCGGGTCTGCTACCTCCGTTCCCTCCCTTTCTCCTTGCCCTACTCGCTCTGCTCGCTATCCCCCAAGGCTTTGCTTTTGCTGTTCCTTCTATTTGAAATGCTCTTTCTCTCCTGTCTTCCCATGGCTGTTCGCTTCTCCTTCAAGCCTCAACTCCCAAGTCATTTCCTTAAACCCACAGAAGCTATTTATTTTCTGTACTCCTCCTACCCTAGCTGAAAATTTCCCAAGGGCTGGGCTTTGTCTATTTGGCTCACTGTTGTATCCCTACAGCCTAGAACAGTGCCCGGAAGAGGAGGCCCTCAAGAAGTATTTGTCTCTAAGGAGTCCTCCCTGAACTCCCCGAGGGGGACCTATCTTTGGGTTCTCCTGGCTCCCTGTGCTTCTGTCTATCACTGTATGTCCCTCCTCTGCCCCTTGTGTTTCGTGTCTGTGATCTCCACTGTCTCCCTGAAGGCGGGGCTGGGCTTCGTGTTTAGAACGCCATGACTGGCACAGGGCTTGGCACTTGGCTGCTACTTGGAAAATGCCTGCTGAATGGATGAGTGACTATGGAGTGGAGGGTGGCAAGAAGCTAGACCAATGGTCACTTCCTGGCCAGTGGCCTCCTCCCAGAAGGTAGAGCATCCTGTGTGGCTCAGAGGGACTTGGTGGCCAAATCCTGGCTGGTCCCATATAGGCAGGTTCCTGGCAGCCCTTTTGTGAAATGAGGACCAATAGCTCTTCATTGTGAAATGAAGACCAATCGCTCTTCCCACTGACTGTCCTGATCAAGAAAGAATCTGCCTTTTCACTGGGAAGTGGGTCATCCGGGGAGGGAGTGATGGTGTTACGGACAGGCCAGGGAGCCAGGGACTGGTGCTTTGGGGTAGGGCCATGTCTTCGCAGCCCTCTTTTATGCGTGGGCACCCCCAAGGACTTATTGGTACTCTCCTGCTCATTCTCCGTCAATTACCTTTTACGGACTCCTTTGTCCCTTCCGTACCTGGTTTATAGTCTCACTACACACCCTCCCATTTGGGGACGAGCTCTGTATTTAGTTTTATATTAGATCCTAAGTCATGCTAAGATACAAAGGCCAACTTGGTTTCATTTCCAAGCGTGTCTGCATCTTTTCAGAGTTGTGGAAGGGGTTCGTTCTCCCAGCCCATCACTCCACGCGTGAGCAGCCCAGGCCACTCCTAAAGAGAAAGAATAACTCCTCCACCCCTGCTCCCCCCAGCCCCGCCCTGGCTTCTCTTACAGAGGAAAGCTGCTTCCGATGAGGATCCGGCCCAGGGGGTATGTCTTGCCGTTGACAGTCACTGGTGGACTGACCTCCAGGTTCCCAAAGGAATCGAGGCTGGTAACAGGCTCATAGAGGGGCTCCCGGGTCACGTAGCCGAAATCTGGGCCCTGGGCACGGGGCACACACCCATCATTAGTCTCCTGGAGCCCGAGGTCCTCAGCCCCCTCTCAGCCACCATCTGATGACTACTCTCTTTCACCACCTTTAATCTGACACTTAGCGTCTGGAGCCTTGCCCACGGTCTTCTTATTCCCGCCAAAGAGCGGGGGCTGGGCACGGGGAGGCTGAGTTCGTGAGCGCGCTGGTGTAAGGGTGGGCATGCCTGACGGTATACAAGTGTGCATTAGTGTGTGTGTGCCCTGGGTCTCTGCATGTGCCTCTTCTTCTCAGACACAGAGACATATCGGTGACTTCGGAGTTAGTTCTCACTTTGTGCTGTTGAAATCCCCACTCATAGCTTCATTTATCTGACCCTCGGTTTCCCAAGCTACAAAAAAGAGGCATCCGATTAGATACCGGAGAGAGAGGGTGGTAGATTGTATCGTCGTTCCCAGCAACTTGCTACCCTTTTCCCAGTGAGAAGACTTTGCATCCTGATATGTGGGTATGTGGGTATCTCCCCGTGGAAGGAATAGAATTCCCCCCCTAGTGTTGGACTTGGTCATGTGACTTGCTTTGGCCACTGGCACGTGAGCAGCAGTATGCGTGCCAGGGCAGAGCAGAAGCCGCGAGATCCACCGCGTGTGCCGGCCAACGCTTTCTCTTCTCCTTGTGCTAGGAGAATGGCATTTCCCAGGCTGGGGGCTGCTCCTGCAGCTGGGGATCTAGAAGGCGGAAGGTGTGAGGAAGCCGGACTGCAGGTGACCAGCCAACAGTCACTGCCGAGTTCAAGCAATACATGGACCGTTAGTCGTTAGCCATTGAGATTTGGGAGTTGTTTGTTACTGCAGCCTTACTGAGAAAAGCTGACCGGTACATGCGGGAAATGACGGACACGCAACATATAGACCATCCCACCCATTCCCAGCCCACCGTATTTGTTCACTGAGCCCAGAGGCAGCCTCTGAATCCTTCTTAGCACAGAGCTCCAACAAACTGGAGTCGACACATAATATAGCCCTCTAGTGACTCTTGAATTTTAAGGTTCCTGCCCTGCCTTTTTGGTGAAGAAGTAGGGGCCTTGCTTGGAGACTTGCCTTGGGGCTGGGACGAAGCTTGCCTGACAAAAATTCTTGTTTGAAAAGAAAACAATACCGTGGGGTGGGAAGATGTGGCTTACCCTGGCCCAGCCGAGGGCTCAAGGGACAGCCGTGCTGCAGCTTAGCGCTTTCTCGCCTGGGAGCCCCAGATGGCAAGGTGTGACTTGCCGGGAGCTGGAGCAGCTGGGTTTGATGGCAGCACAAAGCCGGGCTTGGCCCAGGCCTCCGGGAACAATGCAGCCCGGGGCCTTGGAACCAGGCCAGCCTGGAACAAAGAAGGCAGGTGGTGACCCGGGAAGAGTGTGGGAGCAGGACTGGGAGGCCTCGGCTCTCATGCCTCCGGCCACCGTTGCTGGTGGCCAGTTTGATTCTACCCCTCACAGTGCGGGAAGAAGTGGACAGTCCTCACCGAGGACGATGTCCAGGACTGTGGACTGATAGCCATAACGATGGCTAATAATGACCATCGTATTAGGTGCGGCAGGATGCCCCACATGTGCCTTCAGTCCTCACAACGATACGGTTTCTATCCCCACTTGCAGATGCGCAAACTGAGGCTTGAGGAGGGTGAGACGCGAGGCCAGTCTCTACCATCTCACCGTGGCGAGGGCCCCAGGTTAGGGAAGGTTCTCAAGAAGTAGGTGTGACCCTGTGGCCCTCTCGGGACTCCCGGAGAGGTTGCCACGCATGTGACCTTGGGAAAGCCCCCTGACCTATCCCCGTCTCTGCCTCTTGCTCCATCCAAGCATCCCCTGCCTGTTCAGGGTGGAAGGTGAGGACAAAGGAGACAGGTTTCGGCTCTGCCCTTATTGTGCCAGTGGGTCAGGGCATAAGTGGGGTGGTAATGGCCTCTAGAATCAGGGGGTCGGATTGCTTTAAAGAAACACATACACTGGGGCACCTGGATGGCTCAGTTGGTTGATTTCAGTTCAGGTCATGATCCCAGGATTGTAGGATTGAGCCCTGTGTTGGGGTCTGCATTGGGTGTGGAGCCTGCTTGAGATTCTCTCTGTCTCTCTCTCCCTCTCCCCCTCTCTCTCTCTCTCTCTCTCTGCCCCTCCCCTGCTCTCTCTCTCTAAACAAAAACAAAACAACAACAACAAAACCACACATCAGCTAAAAAACCACAGCTTCAATGAGCTTTGAAGTTGGAACCACGATTTTCGACAATGGCTTCACTATGAGTTTCCTCTTTGGAACTTATTTTTCTGCAAGTGGGGGGTGGGGCAGGGGCAGGAGTTAGGGTTCTTGCCCTGCCTCTTTCCCATAGCTCCCATTTCCTGTGAGAGAAAACTTTTTAGCCCGGGGATCAAAAAAGTCACATCAGGGTGCTTTTCACTCCTGCCTTCCCAAGTGGGTGCAAGTGATAACAATAGAACATTTATCGAGCACTTGCGGTGTGTCAGGCCCTGGGGTAGTGTCGCACTTTCCTATGAGAAAATTCTCCAAGGAAAGGACCTTGGAGGTCACTATCCCAACTGACCCATTCTGCAGGGGAGAAGATGGAGGTGCTGGGCCACAGTCTAATTTGTCAAGGATGCCCAAGGTCTCCTGACCTTTCTGTGCTGCAAGAGTCCTCAGGATTGTTTCCCCTGCCCCTCACCCCAAGGTGGCCCTCAGCATCTCACCAGAAGCTGCTTCATTGGGAAGTCCTTCAGGTATCCATCTCGGGGGGAGTCCAGTACCACGGGGAAGCCTTTATGGGGGGCCTCTATGTAGCCAAACTCAACTTCATCCTGTGGGGACACCAAGGAGAGCTGTCAGGCAAGCCAGCCTCCCCAGTTCTTTTTACTAGCAAACGACGGCAGTAGTTTCTTACATATCCTTCTTCAAATAGTCTCTGCATGCTCCAAGCACGTTTGTACTCATATCAACCCCACTTCTTAAAACATAATCAATAACATCCTATGTACATTTTCTTGCAAGTAACATCTTTGTTTGAAGTGCATTCTGTATATATAGGTTGGCTTCTTTTTAGCTGCTGTATAGTACTCCACAGTAAGGCTAGCCCATCATGCCATATCCCAGTCGCCTGTGGATAAACATTTAGGTTGTTTTACAGTCTTTTGCTGCTATATGAAGCAATGCTGCAGTGAATTGCCTTATACATTTATATCTCTGTGCACATGTGCACGTATGAGTTGACAGCAGAATTCTCATACATGGAGCTGCTGGGTGCCAGGGCCCTGACATGAAGCCAACTCTCCCTGCGTAGCCATGGCCCACGTCCCTCCCAGCCCGGGGTTCCTCACCTGGATCCAGCGGTCGCCTCGATTCACATACTGGAAGCAGACCTTTAGTTCACAGTTGGTTTTCTCAACCAGGTTCTTCACCTCTTTCAGGAACAAGTAATTGTCCTTCATGCTGAGAAGTTTGGGTAAGAGAGGGAGGCCAGGAGGAAGGGTGAGGAGGGACAAGGGCCAGTCCAACCGAGGTGGCAACAAGCAGCTGGCACCTCCGGGCTGTGCTGGGCAGATGAGGCCACAGATGCGTTCATAGTGACCTTTGCAAAGGTGGAGCCAAGGCCAAGCGAATTGCTCTAGTCGCGGCGTTTGCCAAGGTCACAAACCAAGAAAACGAGAAAGGGGACTCTTGCCCCCCACCTTCCCAGATGTCCAAAGAAAAGCTGTGTCTAGCTTAGAGGCAGGGGATGGGCTCGGGGCCTCAGGGTCCCATTGGGCTTGACCGGCACCCATGCAGGCCCTGCTTTTCTTTGCCTCTCCTTTTGCTGCAGGTGCCTAGCACATAATAGATGCTCAAAAAAAGAAAAATGCTGCCTAAGATGAGCTGAACACCCATGGGAGGTTCCCAACCAGATGACGCGGGCGAGAGTGAGAAAAGAAATGATGGCTATCGTATTTGAAGCACAAACTGTACCAAGACCTTGGATTGATACTTTGCCTGCTTCTTTTAATGCCCACGGTGACTGTGTGATGTCAGCATTTCAGAGAAACGGAGGCACAGAGAGGCCCCGCGGGTCGCCCAAGGTCACACGGGCGGTAAATGACAGAGCCAGGATCTGAACTCAGATCTGTCTGCCCCCAAAGCCCCGGCGTTAGCCGCTTGCTTGCTTACCAGCACACGAACACTGACAAGGGAGGCAGGATGTTGGGGGTCATGATCCACGGAGCAATCCGGAACACCACGGTGTCCGTGAAGATAGGTGTCAGGGGAATCTCCTGGGCACGGGACAAAGGAGGGGATCACAGAGTCTGGTCAGGGTGCGTTTCAGTCCTGCCTCGTAGAGCGGGTGGAATCGACAACCAGCCTACACTTGTTGAACACGCGCCGCGTGCCGGGCCCTGGGGTAGCGTCACACGTGCCATCTCCTTTCTGCCCCACAGCAACCCCAGGGGGGAGATACTATCGTAACCCCTTGCTTTGCAGGTGGGGAAACTGAGTCACAGACCTCTAGTCCCAGGCTTGTTACGCAGCTGCCCACGGGCACGTGATCAGCAAGGGGTAAAGCCTGGATTTGAACCCAGGTGGTCAGGCTGCTGCAGCCATACACAACCACTATCAGATCTTGCCCCATCGAAGTCCACTTCCTGAAATTGGCCCACGGGACGGCCGAGCCAGCCCCCCGCCTTCTGCTTCTGCTCTGGGCACCGTGCCCTTTTCTACAGGTGAACGTTTCAAATGTTTGGGGGGAATTTTGCAATGTCCAGGTTGTTCTTTCAGGAAATGTTCAGAAGGCTTGCCTGGAACCTGAGGGAAAACAAGCGAACTCCAGGGTTCCTTTGTGTACTTGGCTTTGAACACCTACAGGAAACGGCGCCTGCCCTTGGCAGAGAAGGCGGGAGCGGACGGGACTATGGGCCTCCCTGGCCTTTCCTGCCCGGGTCTGCTTTTTCAATCTCTGCTGGTTTCCACTAGGGGGGCCGGTCTGAGACCCCGATGGTCAGGCTACTCCAGGCACAGGTGGGAACAGAAGCCTTCTCCTTACCTCGTCCGGTTAGCATCACCTTTCCTGCCTTTCTTCTTCTGAGGGAACTGAGGGATTCTGAGGAATGAGTTCCTACAAGTTTGGATGCTCGCAACGGCTCCAGAAGGAGAAACTTTTGCCGTTTGTTTTCATAGACGGGGAAACGAAGGCCCGGGGGCAAATTCACCCTCCCCGTGTCTCAAGGGCTCGAAGCCGGGCAGTCTGACTCTGGAGCCTGTTCTCAGAAGTCTGAGCTAGACCCCAGCCTCACCTTCTACAGAGCCCATTGTGTCCTGGCCCGAAGTGGTCTGGACCTGACAGTGGGCGCGAGAGCCAGGTCCCTCCCTGTATGTGAGTAAAGCGGGCTGGGCCCGAGAGGTGGGAGTCTGGGCCTAAGACCCTTGTCAGCAGGATACATCTAAGTGAGGGTCGCTTCTCCTCCAGAGGGGCAGGTGCCCTCCTTCTCGTCCGGTTTCCCAAAACCAAGAACAAAGACGGGTGACATATGTGGCCATAGGGTGGGGGTGTGACCTGGGGCTGGGATTTGGGGTTCAGCCTGTGGGTCAGAGTTGGTGTAACCCACAGTCAGGTGAGGGGAGAGAAAAGCGGGGCATACGAGTAGTCGATAAACCTCACGTGTGTGGCCCGGTTTGCTCCCTGCACTAACCAGGAGGGATCTGTGCCTCGGAACCAGGCCCACGCTACTGCAGGGGGGCGGGCAGACCAGGGGACAGACGTGGGGGATGTCAGAAATGTCACACACAGGGAATCCTGGGGAGTCGGTGCGGCAAGCCGGAGGGTCCCCAGCGCACGGCTCTGAGGACCCTCGCAGACACGTGTGGCTGGTGGGGGGGGGCATCTAGGTCTCCAAGCTTGGGGTGGTCCAGGCTTGGAGGGCAGTGGAACAAGTGGGGGCCCCGAGACGGACCCTCTGTAAGGACTCCACCTGGTCCCCGGAGGCAGCCCTTCATGCTGGAGGCCTGGAGCCCTCACCTCGGCCATGTACTCCAGCAGGCTGACGTGGATGGACACCAGGCCCGGGAAGCCCTCGTCGGGAAAACGCAGGCCTTCCACAAAGAACAGCAGCTCTGCGGAGCCGCCCGTGTACTTGACCACGTGGTAGAGCTTCCGTCGGCCCAGGATGTGGATGTAACGCTGGCCGAAGAAAGGGTCTGGAGGGAGAAGGGCCGACGTCAGGTCCCCGCCCCCACCAGGGGGCAGTGTCAGTGGGGCAGGGGGTGAGATGGCAGAGTAACTAGTCCTCTAGACTTAGGGAGAAAAGCACAAGCAGAAAACGCTACCACAAGGGCCATGGCCCGCTCGATGTCCCAGCACTGTGGCCCGCTCGCCATGTGGCATGGAACCAGACGACCTCTCTGGCTTCCAGCTTCCTCGCCTATGAAATGAGCTAGCCCTCCCCGCCATGGTATACACAAAATGGCAGCAGATGATGGCTGAGCAGCTAGCGGCGTGGAGGAAGGACATTATGTCCCTGAGTTACAGATAAGGAACCCGAGTCTCAGGATAGGGAAATGGCTTCTCCGAGGCCACACAGCCAGCAAGTGGCCAAGCTGGGACACAAATTCATGTGTAATTCTGAACCCCAATCTCCCTTCCCCCTTAATAAACAAAACGTCGCTGTGCCCATTTGCACCCCAAATTCCTGTCTGCGGGACAGAAGTCACGTTGGCATGAAGAACCACACGTGGTCTCTGGCTGTACCTTCTCGTGGCTCTTCCCTCCGCTGGGAATGGTTGTTCCTTTCCTTCCAGGCCCGGATGTGTGTCCCTTCTGGGAAGTATGCCCAGATCCCCCAGAGACCAAGGCAGGGGCTCTGTGTGGAGCGTCTGCAGCCCCCCCTCCTTGCCCATCACAGACTCTCTGAGGGAGTATGATCTTGGGGGCTAGTTGTCGGCCCTGAGAGACTGCCACCTGGGGGCAGAGACAGGCCTGGCTGGGCGCAAAGCCAACGTGGCACATGTTCATGTTGAATAAATATCTACCGAATGAACCAATGGCTTCCGCGCCATGCCCTATAGATTTTTCAGGCCAGAGCACACGTACTGAATTACAACTGTGTTGCCAGCATGGGCAAGGACCTCTAGGGAAGGATAGAAATGGTCGGGATGTAGCATCTCTCTCGGTCTACGCACGGTGCTCAGCCAACGAGAAGGTAACGCGGGTGTGGGAAGCGTCATAAGTGAGCCACAGGAGAGAGATCCCGGCAGTTACTGGGGTAGGGAGGGTAGGGGAAGGGAGGCAGGGTGGGAAGCATGCGAGCAGAGGAAGGGAGACTTTGAGAGGCCCTTGAGGGTGGCAGAGGTGGGGTGTGGCGAGGAGAGGAGATACTTGCATTGCCAAAGGCATGGAGGTAGGACCCTATGCAGAGCTTCCAGAAGGAGTTTCTTTATGCCCTGCAGAGCTGGAAGGGCAGAATCGGGGCTCAGCTTAATACTCATCGTCAATAACAATGGTCATGATTAATGACCAGTCACCCATGGGTTAGAACATGTCACCGGGACAGTCCTGGTACAAATAGGGTGCTTGATTAAAACGTGTAAATTAAGGGGCACCTGGGTGGCTCAGTTGGTTGAGCATCTGACTTCGGCTCAGGTCATGATCTCAGGGTTCGTGAGTTCGAGCCCCGCGTCGGGCTCTGTGCTGACAGCTCAGAGCCTGGAGCCTGCTTCGGATTCTGTGTCTCCCTCTCTCTCTCTCTCTCTGACCCTCCCCTGCTCACACTCTGTCTCTCTGTCACAAATCAATAAACATTAAAAAAAAAAAAACCCTTGTAAATTAAATGGAGGAATCTCAGAAGCCCGGGTTCAGGACAGTTCCTCACATTAGGACAATATGCTCAACTAGACCCTGGTATAGGTCTGGTTAACCTATTCATCTCGCTGAGGGCAGGTTACCCTAGTGGTTATGACCTCCAGAGTCACAGAGACCTGGGTTCAAATACCGCTCTAACTTCACAAGCAAAACCTTAACCTCCCCGAGCCTCAGTTCACCCATTTGTTAAATGGGGATAATAACACCGACGCCACAAAGTCGTTGCAAGATAACAGAACGCAGCATCAGTAACTTAGGGAAACCCAGTAACCCCAGGTAACCATCAGTAACCCAGCTGGGGCCTGTTGGCATTCGTATTACAAGAGCCCGTCAGCGAGTTGGCACCGACCTTCCTGCGAACCTCAGGGCCTTCTCATTCAACGGCTTATGAACAGAAGGCGAAGAAATAATACCTCACCTCACCTTGCCTTAGGTGGGCCCAAGAAATGAGGCAGATAGACTCAGACACCGGATGTGCCAAGGAGCTCGTCACGGCCTGACCCGGAAATGACGGCGTGCCCCCTGAGTACCTCCCGATCACCAAGTAGATCCAGATGGGTGCGCGCAATTGAGAAAGTTCTCTTCCAGGCACTCAGGCCCACCTGTATGTCCCAGGTTGCACTTGCACTGATGCTCAGGGGAGAGAGCTCAGGCCTAGAAGCGGACCTGTCTTCGCAGGAAGCTCCAAAACTTCCCCAGGACTCTGGGCACTTGGGCATGCGGCCTGGGCCTGGGCCGGGAAGGGGTCTGGTCAGGTAGCTGGGTCAGGTTCCAGGACACCTTCTTGCCCATCTGCAGGTTGTATTCTCCCCCTCGAGGCCTGCAATTTATGTTTCTCTCTTTCTGGTGACTTGGGTCAGCGCCGGGCGGATCGATTCCCTGGTGGGAACAATCCAGCCACTGTCCCAAGGAGCCTCCTTCCCCCCCTGTCCCCAGCTTGGTGCGGGCCGCCTGGGCATGGCTGGCTCTCCCTGCGGGACGCCACAATGCCCTTCTGTTGAGCAGCCCACATGCCTCGGGCTGGGCCTGCCAGCCACCCTGACCTCTCCTTGGCCCCAGGCATTGGCCCTACCGGCCGGCGCGTGGTATGGGTTGGCATAACCCTTCTGGTCACTTTGGAGCCACTCCACCTCCCAAGGAGGCTCCTTGATAGTGCGACCAACTGTCCTGGTTTGCCGGGGACTGAGCGGTTTCCAGGAGGAGGGATTTTCTGTGTTAAAGCCAGGAAAGTCCTGGGCAGACTGGGGCACGCTGGTCACTGTATCCTTAGAGGACGAGGTCAGGCCCCAACGTTGGGGTCCTGGGGCAGAATCTGAGGCTGCAACACAGATACCTGTGTCTGCCTGACAGCACTGGGGACCTCTGTCTATGGCAATGATTGTAATGAATAATCGTCAGAATAATCCCAATAGAAGCAACAAGTGCCACCTTTAGAAGCATTCCACGGGCCGGCTGCTGCGCTGGGCACCTGACACCTGTTACTTGTTTAATCCCCACCGTGAGCAGGGACACGGTCAGGCCTCTCATCATCCCTACGTCCCAGATGAACTCACAAGGCGTGGGCTTGTGAGCAGACTTGCCCAGATGCAGGGTTTGAACCTCCCAGGCTCCGGAGTTCCCTCCTGGGGTCCCTTGGCCTCCAGCCCGGCCCCCAGCCCTTGGGGGACACAGGTGACACACCGCATTCATGTAACACAACACGCTCTCACCCATCGCCGTACTCAGATTTTCACCAAGCCCGAAAACCTTTGCCCAGAAGGAAAGAAAACCATCACAGATGGATTATTTCTTTCCCCCCACCTGTTCTTTCCAAGATTCCACATTTTGTGGGGAACTATTCTGGAATCGTCGCCGTGTCAGGAACGGGCCACCCCTCGCCCCTCGGGACAGCAGCCCAGATAAGACAGACGGGGCGACGGAGCCTCAAGGTGCTTGTCTACTCAGGGCCCATCTCGGATGGCAAGTGAGGGGCCGCGATGTGATCACGGGGCCAGACGGCGACCCCCTCCCACTACCAAACAGGGCCCTCTGGATAACGTGCAGGTGTCACCGCCAGCAAATCATCCCGAGTTACAATTCAACATCACGGTCGAGAGGCACAGGTGGAGGCCCGGTCCCGCCGGCAGCCCCTGTCGCTGTGGCAACCCTGGACTGGACGGGGTAAACATCAACCTCTCCGGCCCCCTGGGGGCAGCAGAGCCGGCCTGTCTCTGGGGACGTTCCAACCTGTGTGAGGTCACTGTCCGGGCCCAGGGTGGATCAGAGGGAGGACTGGCTTTGGGTGGCCGCTGTCCACTGCTGTCCTGGTTAAATCACCCCCCGCGGTGAGGGTCCAGGGCCCCCGTGACCAACTCCTCGTGGTTCTAGCAAGCCTGTCCAGAGGTGGGCCCAGAGGTAGGCCCGAGATCCGGGGCCCCCCAGACAGCTGGGCACACAGGGGAAGCCCCGCCCCACATCATGGCAAATTGCAAAGCAAACTATTTTGCTGAGAGAGGCTTTTAATACATAAATCAGATCTTGACAGCCCCTTGCTTAAAACCCTCTAATGGCTTTCCACTGCACTCAGAATAAAATCCAAGGCCTCTCTCTGCATGCCCTGGCCTCTGCCCAGATCGCTGACCTTGACTCCAACACAGCCACCACTTTTGGTCTCCCTTTTGCTCCTCCAACGCCCCAAGCTGGTCCGCTCCTCTGGGCTTTGTATGTGCTGTTCCCTCTGCTTGGAACACTCTTCCCTCAGCTCATGAATGGCTATTTCCTCCCCATTGTTGATTTGGGTCTCAGCTCAAATGTCACCTGCTCAGAGAAGCCTTCCCAGACCTTCCCAGGCTAGCGAGGCCTCCCCTCTGTCTCTGATGTTCCCTATTACTTGGTGGGTATCATTCCCTCCAGTTGTGCTCCTTATCAGGTCTCCCTCACTAGGCCATCGCCTCCCCCACAGCAGGCCGGGACTGCAGAGTTCACCGCCAGGACCCCGGCACTGAGAATGGCACTTGGCACTGAGGGGGCTCAACGTGTATTTCTAGAAAGAATGAGACAGAGTGGGCAGCTGTGAGGGCTAGTTCTGTGGCGGAAGCAAGCTCCCTGCACAGCGGGGACCCAGGGTGCCCTGTCACCATCAAGAGGAGCAAGGGGTCAGCTCTGCAAAGGTGCCCAGAACCTCATTGGAGACGCTTTAAAAGTTAGAAGGCAGTCGGGGCACCCAGGTGGCTCAGTCGGTTGAGCGTCTCACTTTGGCTCAGGTCGCGACCTCACGGTTTGTGAGTTTGAGCCCCATGGGGGGTTCTGTGCTGTCAGCACAGAGCCCGCTTCGGATCCTCTGTCCCCGCTCTCTCTCTCTGTCTGCCCCTGCCCTGCTTGTGTATGCGCATGCTCTCTCTCTTGAAAATAAATAAACATTAAAAAAAAAAAAGA